AAAATTAATAAAATATAATTATAGAAAAAAAAAAAAAGACTGGCGGTTTGAACCTACCTACCGGTATTATAAAAGTGTGGTGGTTTTCTTCCATTAAGATTACAGCCAAGAATAAATGGGGGGGGGCTAAATGGAAAGAATATGCTGTAAAAAATATATATGTTGCATTAAAAAAATCATTACTAAAAAAAATTCAAAATTAAAAAAATAAATTACAGCCAAGACAATCCTATAGAGAAATTTATGTAGCAGACAGTCACCAGGAGTTGGAATCGTTGGAAAAGTTTGGTAGTTTCTCTCTAGACTCTGCTGTCCATAATTCCTCTTTTTTCATAGGCCATTCCACTCCTAACAGGCCCCTGTATTTTTCCTCTCTTTGGGCCACATTCAGAGCCATAACAGAGTCCTCCTCTGACTCAGGGTCGGGAGAGCTAACTTTTTCCCAAGGTGTTGTTCGTGAAAAACAGTTAAGGGTCAAGGAAATTAAAAAACAAAAACAAACCTCTTTCAAGTCAATTCCTTTCAGGGTTTCAGGTCTTAAAATGTAATTTCTGCTGTGTTTTTTGTTTTTAACCCAAACAGAGCAAGAGAGGAAGACCATCAATGAGATGGATTGATTCAGTGACAGGGTTAATGAGGGTAGGTGTGTTAGAGACGGTCAAACTGGCACAGGACAGAGCAGGGTTCAGGGCTGTTGTACATAGGGTTGCTATGAGTCGCAGGTGACTTGATGGCACATAACAACAACAACAATAACTCAAGAGTTGCTTCTTTCTTGTGACTCATTTTTTGAGTTGTGCTTTTGAGTTGTGGTTTAAACAGTGACCCCCACCCCATATTTCACTATAATGTAGGCAGTAAGCATGAAGGGGGTGTGTGTCCCAAGTTAGTTCTTTCTCTTTGGACTTTCGAAATCTCTTTCTCTTGAGACAACTCACTCAGGGGTCTCTGGTCCCTGGTCCCTTCTAGTCATTAACTCAGCACCCACTTCTCAAAGACTCTTTTCACCCTTCTCCCAGAAGGTGTTAACAGGGAAGAGTATGACATCCCAAGTATAATCTTGGATGCTTCATAGAAAGTGCGTTTTGCAAATGCAGATGCCTGGAGGTGGGTAGGCGGGTTTTCCTTCCTCATTTCAATGAATGTGTAGCATAAAGAATGTTATTCAACACATAAGAATGGTGGTGTCTCTGGATAAACACTCTCCATTTAAAGAAAACACATGGCTGTGGAGTTGGAATTGTTCCTAGCTGACACCCCTGTGGATTCCCCAAGGCTATAAATTTCAAGGGAGGAGATTCCCCCATTTTTCTTCTGCAGAGACGCTGGTGGATTTGAACTTCTAGAGAGACTTGACATTTAGATTAGCAGTATCATTCCGTTTGAACTCCCCACCAGAGTTCCCTTTCCTCCTCTGTTTTAGCCTCAGCGCATTGGTGGCGTAGTACAGAGTGTGTTACTCTGCTAACCAAAAGATTGACAGTTCGAATCTACCAGCTACCTTGAGTTAGAAAGATGGTCGGTTTCTTCCCCTTAAGATTTATGGCCTCAGAAACTCAATAGATGGTCACTGTGATTTAGTCTCGACTCCCTGGCGCTGGGTTTGGATGCTGTTGAATGGAAAGTGTGAAGTCAGGGCTGCTGGATGTTCAGGCTTCAGCAGAGCTGCCAGAAACACAAGATTTGTATGAGAAATCTCCTGAAGGTTATTAATGTGAAGAGATAATAATAAAAAATTAAAGTGGGAGAAATCAGGCTGAGCCTCATTGGGAAATGTATTCTGGTCTGTGGCTTCAAAGGTTTTCTGTTTTCTGAAAATCTGTCCTTACAACTGTTGGCCTCACTTTGATGAAGTGCACTGTCCAGTCCTCTAACTGTAATTACTAATTAGATATGATGTTGTTGTTGCTGTTACGTGCCGTCGAGTCGTTTGCGACTCATAGCAACCCAATGTACAACAGCCCTAAACTCTGCTCTATCCTGTGCCAATCGCACTGCCTCTGACACTCCCATCCTGATATTACCCCAGTCACTGAATCAATCCACCTCATAGAGGGCCTTCCCCTCCTGCGCTGTCCCTCCACCCTACCAAGCATGATGTCCCTCTCCAAGGACCTGTCTCTCCTTACAACATGTCCAGAGTATGTCAGACGAAGCCCCAGAATCCTTGCCTCCAAGGAGCAGCCTGGTTTAACCCTCCCCCTGACGAATCTGTTTGTTTTCTTGGCAGTCCATGGTACATTCAATATTCTTCTCCAGCACCACAGCTTTTAGATAGTCATATAGTTTGTTGCCCTATAGATGTCCTATCTTGGAGCTAGTCTGTACAAACATTTCACCAATACAGAATGGAGTTCTCTCTGCATTCTGAACAGAATTCTATCATATGTTGAGCACCTACATTTGGGTTATCTTTGTACAGCAAAAAGGACAGACCAGAGCTGTACTACTTAGAAGACTGTTTGACCAAAAACAATTAAAACCAGGCCTGAGGGCTACAATCACCCACCTTTGGCTTGGTAGCATCACTTTCTATCCACTAGGCCAACAGAGCTCGCTCATTGTTTTTGTTGTTGTTAAGTGCCATTGAGTCATAGACGACTCATAGCGACCCTATGAAAGAAAGATCTGAGCACTTGTATAACTTTCATCATTTCTTCAGGTTCATAGGGTTTCCAGAGGCAAGCTATTTCAGAAGCCCCAGAATCCTTGCCTCCAAGGAGTCGCTTGGTTTAACCCTTTCTAGGATGAATCTGTTTGTTTTCCTAGCAGTCCATGGTATTCTCAATACTCTTCTCCAGCACCACAGCTCAAAGGCATCAATTCTCCTTCTGTCCTCCTTGGTCATTGTCTAACTCTCTGATGCATAACAAGTGATAGCAGCCACTTGAAATGTGGTTAATCCAAATCAAGATGTGATGTAAGTGTAATATAGATGTTAGACTGCATCCTGAGTGAGTGGCATCCGCTTCTGAAACAGTGTCGCTCTATCATTTAGAAACTAGTCAAGTATCTGCCCTCAGTTAAGTAGACAGTGGACTGTTGTTGTTCTGTACCAGTGTTCCAATGTTGTGTTCAGAACTGACCTACATCTGGCCCTCTCCCATGGGTTTTCAGAGGCAGTTAACCACATGAAAATAGATTGCCCAGTTTTCTTATGTGGAGGAAATGGTGGACTTGAACCAGGTACCTTTGAAATTGCAGCACAGTTAGAAAGATGGTCGGTTTCTTCCCCTTAAGATTATGGCCTCAGAAACTCAATAGACAGTCACTGTGATTTAGTCTCGACTCCCTGGCGCTGGGTTTGGAAGCTGCTGAATGGAAGGTGTGAAGTCAGGGCTGCTGGATGTTACACCACGACACCAGAGCTCCCGACCCAGTGGATTAGCAGCCCTGAATTGATGGTGGGTTTCCACATTACCACCCAACACAGCGAGCTATGCTTGTGCCTGGCTGTGTCTTTCGATGTTGATAATTGCTGTGAACACTGGGTCAGCCCCAGGGCTGCCTCTTTACAGACAATGATCTAGATGGCTGGTATACACAGCTAACCCCTCCTGGGTGACTAGCGTGGAGGGAAGCCACTATGCAATTTATCTACGACCTTGTGGCACTCTTTGGAACAGGGCTAAGAAGGGATGTGAGAGATGTGGAGGATCTTGGCAGAGCTAAGCATGATAGCAGTGGGTAGGACGTGTCTGCATGACATTGCACGAGGGCTGGGAGAAGCTGGAATAGGAATCTGGAAAGAATTCCTTTTACCCCTCTGCAGATGCTGGAAATCCAATATTTAGGAGTTGGAATTGTCTTTGGGCTTTTTTTTTTTTACTGCTTGAAAAATCACTCTGGTTAGGATTTGTGTATATGTGTGTGTTTGCTGTTATTACTACTACCAGCATCTAATGAATAGTCATACTTGTTTGGTTTTTTTTTTTTCCCCAGAAAATAACCAACTCGCCCCAGAAGTTAATCCGCTGCAGGAAGGAAGAGGTGGAACCCTGTGCCATCTCTGTGTTATCTTCTGAGGAGCTCCTTGCGGCCTGGATCTAATGGACTCTGGAAGACCCATTTGAAGCTGAGACCTGGTCTGTCCCACACAGGAGCAATAAAGAGAAAGACTGTGTTTCTGACTTCCTCCGCGGACAAGAGATGGGAATCAAGGAGAACCCACCCTGACCACGTCTGAATGCATCTCTCTGAGGCAGAGTAGTTTCATGGACAGCGCACTGACTGGTCAGGAGATGTGACTCCTAAGCCTGGCTCTCTGCCATTTACTTTCTGTGTGATCCTGGGGAAAAGGACTTAATCCTTCTGGTTCTCAGTCTTCTCATCTGTATAATGGGAGGATTCGCTACCAAAGAATTTTATATATAAAAATAAACCCAGAGGTGCTTGTTGGTCAGATTTTGGTCTGCCCGAGTAACCTTTTGCAGAAGTAAAATGCCTTGCCTAGATCAGACACACATTCACAAAGCCCAACAATGCAGAACTTGTAGAATGTAAAAAAAAAAAAAACCAAAACAAACAAACCTATTATGATTGGTTCAGTTTTTCAGGGGAGCAAGATATAAATGTTTAATAAGAATTGTCAAAGACGCTATGAAACAGTTGTCATGTATATTCCACGGTCCCAAGGAAACGTTGAAGATCTCGGATGGACGGTTCTAATGATGCTGATTTTGTTTCCACTCATATCTCTGTGCCGAGGTCACTGGTTCAGCAACTGTACAGTTTATGGATAGTGGAGGTTACACCCCACTGAAAATGGGACACGCCTCAGCACTGTGGATATAAGGGATACAACAGCGTGCAAATCGTGTGTGCATGTAGGGGCAGCAGGTGAAATGTGTGTGTGTGATAACGACATCAATTGTAGCGATAATGCTTTCTGTGTTCCTTTTTCCTGCGGCATTGTTAAAGTGAAGAATAAAAAAAAAAAAGAAATGGGACCACTCAAAATGTGAAAAAGTGTTCTTAGGGTTCATCTTAGGTCAATAGCCTTAAGTCTGGGGAGGCCTTTGGAGGACACATGTGGTCAGGAGGAGTGAGTGACCCCTGGCAGTAGTTAGCCTTCATGCCTGCCCTGTGGGTCAAGGCCGGCCTGGCATTAGACTGAGAAGCTGGGGCAGCCTCCCACTACTGGTTTTCTCTTGGGGCTTCTGTCCACAGGAAATGCCTTTGGGAATCTCTTTTCCTTGAGACGATTCACTCAGGGGTCCCTGGTCCCTTCTAGTCCTTAACGCAGGACCCACTTGTCAAAGCCTCTTTTCACCCTTCTCGTAAAAGGAACAGGGAGGAGGTTTCTTGAGTTAAAGGTTTGGTAGAAGTGACCTCTGACTTCCTTTTCAGCTCACCCCTCTCAGCTCTGAAGCCTTTGAGCTGGGCTGTCTCTGCCTCTATTTTGGGGCCCTTTCCAGCCGCACAGCAATGGGGATTATCTAACAGTTTATAACCCGACTTCCACTTGGTGTTACCACAAGCAGACAGGACTGAGACTTTCCCCAGAGGAGATCTTGCTGAAGAGCTTTTGCTTTGCACCATGTGACATCCTTCTGTGTTACTTGACTTTAAAAGAAAAGGTTTCTAAAAATTTTATTATTTTTGTGTGTGTGTACCGTCAAACTACATCTGACTGGTATGAGAGGAGATTGTCCTTCCTTCTCCAGTAGAGCATCTGGTGGATTCGAACAGTGCACCTCTGGGATTGCAGTGCAGCTTCTGCCACTAGGCCACCAGAACTCACTGTTAGTTGACTTTTTAAAATGAAGAGTGTATTAATTTTATCTGAACTGTAGATAGCTTCTTTTTCAGTTTGGAAAATCAAAGACCCTTGAAAATATAAAACCCCTGTTACTCTCCTTGCTGCAGGGGGTCAATGACTGCAGTCTTCAGTATAGATTGAAGTTCAACGTTAAGAAAACAAAGATTCTCACCACTGGACCAATGGGCTACATCATAATAAATGGAGAAGAGATTGGGATTGTCAACACATTCAGCTTGCTTTGCTCCACAATCAACACTCTTGGCACCAGCAGTCAGGAAATAAAAAATGAATTGCATTGGGAAAATGTACCATCAGGAATCTCTCCAGAGCTCAAAAGAGCAACATTGTCAGTATAGAGACTAAGGTGCACCTGATCCAGGCTATGCATCAGAGATCTGGGCAATGACTAAAGATGACAGAAGAAGAATTGATGCCTTTGAGTTGTGGTGCTGGAGAAGAGTATACTACTCATACCATGGACTGCCAAGAGAACAAACAGCTCTGTCCTGGAGAGGGTGAAACCAGGTTGCTCCTTGGAGACAAGTTTTGTTTTCTTTTTAATTTTCTACTAGTTTATTTACAAAATTCAAGTACATTGTTTTCAAGAACACTTTCTTGCAATTCCCCTTATCCTTCTACCTAACGAATTGTATAACCCCATGATTAATCCCTCCCTTCCCCTGCATATTTTCATCCCTTTTGAAGCTCAGTCTCACATACTTTGGGCACACAGCTAGGAGGGGCAAGTACTTAGAGAGGGACATCATGCTTGGAAGGGTGGAGGGACAGCACAGGAGAGGAAGACCTTGGATGAGATGGCTTGACACAGTAACTGGGGCCATGGAGGTCAGTGTGTTGGAGATGATGAAATTGGCTCAGGATAGAGCAGGGTTCAGACCTATTTATTATACACAGCATTGCCATGAGTTTGAGTTGGCTCGACAGAACATAACAACAACCACCACCACTACCACAATTCTCATTCTTCTTCCTTCTTCACCCCTCTGCTCTGTGAACATCACCCAGGCCCAGAACCCAGAAATGACCTCTTTTCTTCCTCTGCTTTGGTCTCTGTTATTACACAGTATTAGGAGCTCTGGTGGATTAGTGGTTAGGTGTTTCACTGCCAACCCAAAGGTACTTGGTTTGAATCCACCAGCTGCTGTGCTGGAGAAAGAGAAGCAGTCTCCTTTACAATCTACCACCTCTGAAACCTTATTAGAGGATCAGCTGTAAGTTGATTCTGATGTGACACACAAAAATACGACTCATCCATTCTGGCTGATGGATACACCCCCTAACCTCACAACCGAGTTGATTCTGACTCCATGGTTCTATACAGCAAAGCAGAATTTCCCCACGAGATTTCCAAGACTGCAAAGCCTTAGGGGAGGGGACCACCTCACCTTTCACCCTCAGTGCAGCGGATGCGTTCAAACCTACATCCTTTCAGTCGGCAGTTCAACACTTAATGCACAGTGCTAAAGGGGCTTCGGGCTGATGTGTGTAAACATTTCTCTCAACTGCTCTGTTGTGTGTCCATGTACCCAACATGCATCTCTTGAGCTCATTTGTCAGGTAGGTGCCTTTTCTGTACCTGGTTGTCAGCTCTCTCCTGAAACATTTACTGCCTGTGTCTTTGCCCTGCAGTCAATTTAATCCTATCCCAGTCCTTTAAACAGAGGCACTTTCATGAGCGAATTAGAAAGCAAGAGGGTGCTGGCAAACTAGGATGTGCTACCCCACTTTCAGGCCCAGGTTCTGAAGGTCTCCTCCTGTTTGAAACCTCACAGGTGTTCAGTTACAAAGTTCAGGGGGTCACACTCACACTAACAGAGCTTCCCCAGCCCCATCTATAATGGAGTCCCACGGGACTCAATTCAACAAGCCCTAGACCCAGTGAGAAGTGTCCTTATAAGAAAGAGGCAGAAAGAAAGTAATAGAGGCAATGAATGCTAGGCCTCTCTTGGCATCTTCACTATTACCTCTCTTGGCAGAGGTTCCCTGGCCCCAGTGTGATCAAGCCCAGCTTCCTCAGTCTCGCCTTCAAGTGACGACTGCCAAGACTTACTGAGCAAAAATCTTTGCCTTCATGAGGCTTACCTTCCTACAGGGAAAGGAGAGGAGAGAGCAACAGCCACTATTATTTCTATTATTATCAAGTGAATCTTATAGCGTGTTGGGTATTCATAAGTGCTATTGTAAGAAAGAAAAAGATATACATATATCATCTCTTCAAATGTTACAAGATTGGCTTAAAGCTGAAACGAGAACACTTTTCTGAAAAATTACTAAGAGAAACTCCCTTGTCCTTGTACGCTTGTTGTGAACCAGCCAAGGCCAGTTCCTGGTGCCCAGAAACAAAGACATCCCAAACATCCTTAAGCCCCAACCCCCTCCTTTCAAGCCCTCTTCTTCCAAGTGTAGGTTAAATACTAACTTATTTTTTTAAAGAGTGACAGTAATTTTTTTAATTCATTTTGATGAAAGTTTACAGAGACTTAGGGTTTCCACTCATTCATTGTTGCACTTTTCCCCCTGCCCACCCCTGCCCACCCTTCCCCCCAATTTACTCTTCTCCTTGAAAAGTAAAAGAAAAAAATTCTTTCATTGTTATGCAATCCCTCCCCCCCAAGTCCTCTCCACTGTGCAGCCTTCATTCTGGACTCCTGTCATGACAATAATACCCAATCATATGTTCCTTTAAACAGTTCTCTCCCTCATCTGTTTTAATGCTGTATACATCAAATATTAACTTTTAAAGTAAATTTACAACTACTGGATAAGTACAGTACTGCAAGGTCTCACCCTTGACCAACAGGGTGAGACACAGGCTTGCTTTTGCATCAGTGATAAAAACCCAAGCAGATCACCCACTGACGTGCTTGTTGGTTAGACTGAGGTCTGCCCGAACAACCTTCTGCTGAAGTAAAATGCTCTGCGGAGATCTTTTGTTTCCATGTTTCTGTTGTGACACTGAGCTGTGTTTCTAACACCATCAACAGATGAAAGGGTAGAGCAGAGAGAGGAGGATGGGGGCAAGTTGCAGCCTGACTAAAATGAAAGTGAATGGACGCAGCTAAATGGAAACTGTTAGACAAGTTCTCACACACTGCACAGTGTGAAAGGTAACAGAGATTTTGCTTACAAATTCTCAGGGCCTGGTGAGTATGGAGCTGTGGGGGCAACCCGAAGGCATGCAGTTAGCAGTTATCAGCTGCTCCTTGGGAGAAATACAGACACTCTCCTCTTGCTGACCCTGAAAACCTACTAACCCGGTCAGTGA